ATATATATATATATATATAATATATAAATCATGAAAGAAAATATAATTAAAAAAAATATTATTTATTATATTGTTAAGTGAAAAATAAAAACATATTAGAAAATAAAATATTATGTATGTATATATATTTGTTAATATATATGTATATATATTATATATAAATATAAGATTACATGTTTTTACATTTTATTACTTCTTTTATGCATTCTAATATGCATTTTACTAATTACTATTACTTCTTTAAATACGCTTAAATAAAATATTAGCAATCAATTTAAATTTTTCATAATAGAATTATATAAATTAAGTTTTAATTTAAAAAATTCTTTACAGTATTTTGATTATTAATTCTCGAATTCTCCTAAGTCATAATTTAAGAAACATTGAAATTATCACTATGATATATTTTAATAACGTACAAACAAAATCTATATACAAACAAATGACTTATTATTTTTTACTTATCTTTTTACTTAGTTATTGATTATTCTTTAAAAAAAAATTAAAAATGAAAAATGATATAGAAAATTTATCAAATAAAATTATAATAAAAAAAATGAAAATTTCTTTCTTATTTAAAGAAAATGACGTAGATCTTAGATTTATACGTAAGAAACGTATAAATTTTCTAATAAAGAATAAAAGCTTATACAAAAGATAAAAATTAAGAATACATACCATAAAGTAGATCGAAGAAATAATATATAAGAATAAGTTGATAGAAAAAGAAGACATAAAATATCACAATGAATCGTTGCTTGGCACTAATAAACAAATAATCACGATAATCTACTTTAAATAAATATATTTTTTATGACGGAATAAAACTATCAATACTAGTAGTTCTTACACACACTGCCGGCCTAGTAAGATAAAATGGTAGAATATCAGAATACGCCATCTTTAATAGATTACACGCAAGCGCTGTTTGTATCTTTATTATCCTGTAATCACAATCTATTTTAGATACAAATCATGTTGAAAATAAAATAGGTAATAATCCGGATTAGCACTATTAGAAAAATTTCCTATTTTAAATGATATCACATTAAACTATATCAATGTGTTTTGATAATATTATACAGCTATGTAAAAATTAGTGTTCGAATAGCTATAATATTGTTTTTATAATCAACATTTTTCCTTATTTGTTTACATGTTTTTCCTCATAGCAATTTTAATTCTTATCTATATGTATAATAATCAAATAAGTTACTATACGTTATTAATTTGATTTCTGTAGTTTTTTCACAATTTTATGAAATATTTATTTATTTTTTATTACTTTGCAATATTATATATTATTTTCGTAAAAATTATATAAAATATTATATAAAATATTTTCATATATTATTTTCATAAAAAAATAATATAAACAAGAATAAAATGATTATATGCAATAAATAAATAATATATAATAGCAAGAAATAATTTATGACTTAAATAATGTTAAATTGTTTTCTTCATTGTTGGGGATTCTTAATATGTGACAAAATTCAATGGATAAATAACATAATATCTAATATCATAATAATAATTTGATAATATAATATCGATATTGATTAATAATAAATATTAACAAAAAAATAAAACTTTTTTATTTTTTATTGATAAAATTTTAATACTTATCAAGTTTATGTCAGATTATATTAAAATAAGATAATATAATTTAGATTATATTATATTAATTTATTTAACAAATGAAAAAAAATGTTATTATTATTCATTGCAGGAATCTTAATATAACAGTTTTAAAAATATTCATGGTATTTCATTTTTAATAAATTGTAATTAGAATAATTATATATTTAAGAAATTTTTTAAATAGTATTTCGATGTTAATATGTTAATATGTATATATTGTAATATATGTTTTATTACATTATATTTATATTTATTTCTATTATTATAAATAAAAATAAGTTATTATAAACAAAAAATTATAATTACCATATATATTGAAAAAAAAATTATTTTTATATTATAAATTAAATTTTTTTAAATACAAAATTATTGTAATAAAAATTAATAAATTTTAATCAAAATAATTTTTTTATTTTATATCCAGTGTACAATATGGTAAGTTTTTTTTCCAACTCTAAGTAATGATATATTATTACTTAATATATGTATTCCAGGTACAACAACTTCTTCCATATTTGTAATTTTTTGATAATTAATATAAAAACCTCCAGCTCCAATAATTCTTCTTGCATCATAATCTGATTTAAAACAGTTTGCTTTCATAGCTAATTCATAAACATTAATACCTGGTTCAGAAAGAAGTTCTATTAAATTAGCACCTTCTAATATTTGTACCAATTCATTTGCATTCATTTTTGCTAAAGAATCAATTGATTTATCATAAAGAATAGCAGATGCTCTTTTTGCTGCAATTAATCCTGCTTCTGTAATAATAAAATAATATTGCATAAATTTTAATAATTAACATAAAAATAAAAATATTTTATCATTATATTTCATGATATTATTTAAAATTGATAAATAATAGAAAAATTAATAGTCTTTTATTATTCTAATTTAAACTATATTCCATAACATACAAAAATAAAAATTTGTTCTTTTACCTCCATGAACTAATATTGTAACTTTCTCAGCTAGATTTCTCTGTGCTATTCTCAGTTCTGGTTTTTTAAAATGCTCTTCTATAATTTTTTTAATCTTATTTAAAGGTAAAAATGTAAAAAAATGAAGAAATTTTTCTACATCAACATCTTCTACTCTCATAAAATATTGATATAATTGAAAACTAGAAGACTTTGCTGGGGATAACCAAACTGCATTGCCTATAGATTTTCCAAATTTTTTTCCACCTTCAGCTGTGATTAGTGGTAATGTCAATCCATAAACTTGATTTTTAGTATATTTAGTAACTAAATCATAACCAGATATTATATTTCCCATTTGATCTTGACCTCCAATTTGAAAATTGCAGTTATATGTACGTTGTAAATGAAGCCAATCATATCCTTGGAAAATTGGATAAGTAAATTCTGTAAAACTCATTCCATTATCAGATTCTAATCTTGCTCGTACAGATGTACGACCAAGCATTGTGCCCATTCTAAAATACTTTCCAACATCCTTGATAAATGATAATAGATTCATATCTTTATACCATTGTAAATTGTTTAATATTTTTATAGGAATTAAATGATCATGATTTTTACAGAAATATTGTGTATGATTTTTAATAATAGTTTTAATATCATTTCTTATACATTCTAAATTTTCTTTAAGTACAATTTGATCTATTTCAACACGCTCTTTTTTTCTATAACTTGGATCACCAATTAAACCTGTTGCACCTCCTAATAGAATAATTACTTCATGACCACAGCGTTGCCAATGTAAAAGATTGATAAGAATTAATAAATTTCCTATATGCAAACTTTCTGCAGTCGGATCAAATCCAGCATATATACATTGTGGTGGACTTTTCCATAATTTTTTTATATCATTCCTAAAATTTTATTGTTTTAAAATTTTTTTTTATTACTGAGATAATTATATCAATCAAGGAGAATAATTTTAGGATATAATATAAAGATATGCATCAAACTCAGGATATATTTTTTAGAATTAGAAAATTTCAATGTATTATTTAATTATTTGAAAAGATTAACGAAAAATGTATACGAATAAAAATAATTTCAAAAAATATAAATATATTATAAAATGAAACTTTAAAATTAAAAAACTTTAGAATTAAAATAAAATAAGAATATATAAATATTATAATTTTAAAAAATTATATAAAAATATAATATGCAATATACTATGTAACATAATACATAATTTACGCATAACGCGCAATTTTTTTTTTAATAATATTTAATGAATTAATAATACTTACATAAAAATATCAGGAAAAACATCCTCATATAATTGTCTGTTTTCGGCATCTAAAATATATTTTGCAGAATGTAATCTTCGACTATTTAAACACTTTGCGAACGAACGTAACCTCATTAAATTGTTCATTTTTAATTGTCCGTTAAAAAAAATGCAGAAATTGATCTTAATATTAATTGTTTATTTAGGCATTCTGTCTTAAAAATATTTAATTATAAAATTTGGATAAGTATACTTAAAAATATAACCGTAAAACTAATTCTTTATTTAATTTAATGATAATAATATAATTGTGATGTAAAATATAAATAAAATAGAAATTCATAAAATAATAAATTTTTAATTAATATATCAATTTACAAATTTATTTATTATAATATATTTTCAATAATTCTAAAATATTATTTTAGTATCAATAAAACAAGTAATAAAACATATTGATGCATTCAATTTTCTTTTTTGATAAAAATAAATTTTTCAATAACTGAATAATAATAATAAATAAATTTTTCAGTTCATGAATAAAAATAATAAAAAATTGTTCACAAAAAAAGATTAAAATAAAATAATAATAAAAGAATTCGATTATGATAAAATAAATTTTCTTTTTTAATTAATTTACTCGTGTAAATTCGTATAATACACATAGAATAAATATAAATATTCATATAAAATATAGTACTATATTTTGCAAAAGAAAATTAATAGATCTAATTGTAATTAGTTTTAATAAATTTAATGTAATCATATTATTATTTAAACATATTGATATGTATATCATTATTTAAACATTACTATAATAATAAGAATTTCGAATGCTTATCATTAAATATAAATTAAATTTTACATAATAATAATTTTGCTTGTTCAATGAAAACTCATCGTGTCATAAAAACTTGAATCACTTCTTCAAAATGAAATTTCTTTTCAAACTATTCAATTATTGGTTGTTTTATATATAAAAAATATCTTTCGCATTACAGAAAATCGCTTTAAAAATATCACTATTAGCTTATGATAGATTTCCATGTAACAGTTGCTACATTAATTAACTTGTTAATAGTATATTTGGGACATAAGCGAAACTCTAAAAAGGAGCAAAATATTATTATGGCGGTAAACTATTGGGCGTTGTTCTTAACACCTGTTGCTTTTTCTTGGATTCATGATTTGAATCAATTTTTGATTTAAAGTTTAAATAAGATTAAATTATTTTTATTTAAATCATGGTAGAACGAGGTAAGTTTCAAAAAATTATTCAAATGATACTTTTATTTCTATTACTAAAAGAAACTTGTATATTCATTTAAAATAAAAAATGAAAATAATATAGATTAATAAAAAATGATTAACTTTTTCTTATTTTATTTTTAAATATGTAAATAATTAAGTAAACACGCCATTTTGAAATTCAGATTTATTTGACAGTTCTCTTTATCTTTTTCTATCGTGCTATTATTTTTTTTCTTTCTTTTTTTATTACTAATTGTAAAAAAGGTTATGTATTTTTACATAAAGTAATTTTCAAAAATTTATCATGTTCTAAATATAAATATAATTTTGAAATATAAGTTTTTAGGTTATATATATATATATTTTATATTTTCTTAGATTTAATATTAAAAAATTTTATGTAAGTTTTAAAATAAATTTCAAATATCTATAATTTTTATTAAGTAATTATTTTTCTATATATAAAAAATATTTTATTTTTGCACAGAAATATTTTATTTTTCAGAAATTAGCAATGGGTAAAAGTGAAGAAAAAAACGGGAACACGATACAAGTAGGAGAATCTACATTTCTTACAAAAACATCAAGCGAAGCTAGTAAGATGTTAGAAGCTGCTTTATTACAAATGGATGACATTATTTCTGGTAAATTTTATATATAATATTATTTTAAATTAATTTAATATATCAAATATATAATCAATGTATATAAAAATATGTAATAATTAATTACTCTTGAAATATTTTATTACTATAATTTTTTATTTTATTAAGATATCATATTTAAGAGAGGAATTAATAATAATATTACATATTAGTTGAAATATCCATAAAATTATTAAAATTATAATATACATATATTAATAGGTGTGTGTACTGATAGTAATAATGAAGGCAATACAGAATGGAAGGATTCTGTCAAAGAAGCAACAAAAAATCTTGTGACAGCAATTAAAAACTCTCCAAGTCCTCCTTCTCCTCCAGATACAGCCACTACTGAAATTTTATTACAATGGATGCAATTGGTAAACATTTAGAACTTCAATTATAGATATAATATAATTAGATTGATTCTATAAAACATGCAATTAATGCATATTATATATCTTAATATATTTAATTTATAACTTGAAAAATAAGTTCTTATCAATATTTTTATATATATGATTCTTGTGTTATTAGAAATGTTTTCAATATTAATTCTTCCAATATTTTTATAAGTATTTTATGTTTAAAATATAAAATGAGAGATACATAAAACAAGCTATTTCTTCTTTATATTATTGCAGAGAGCAATTTACTTGTTTTTTTACTTTAATTAAATAATTAAATAACATCATTATTAAAGTTAATAACATCAATATATATAAAAAATTGATTCTTAACTTATATAATATTTATTTTTATTATTTTTCTTGCATTAATTATGCTAAATAAATAAAAAATATATATATATCAAATAAATATAATTAAATAGATAAGCTATAGAAATAATAAACATTATAAATTTAAATTTTTCAAAAAATATTTATATTTAAATAATTATATTTAAATAATAATAATAATAAATATAAATTAATTTAGATTCTCATGTGTACAATAAAAAAAATTTAATTAATAAAATTTTAATATTACTATTAAACAAAATTTTAATATTATATTAAGTATTATAAAAAAAAAGATGATCTATGTATAGATTACGTCACGTGACGTTATGGCTCTCATCTTGAGAAATTTTAGAATGGTAATTTTAGTATCTTACAAAACTTCGTCGTGATCGTTTTGCTAATTTTATTTTTTTATCTTATACTTTTATTTGTGATAATTTAGTTTATAGTTAAAATATATGAAAATAATTTAAAAAATGGCGAAAAATGTGTAATCAAATGTAACAAAATTTGTTAATTTCATTAAGAATATAAAATAAATTATGAACGAAGTAGAAAAAACTCATACAAGAAATCCTATTAATAATTTCATTTGAAAGAATTCAATAAACTACAAGTCGTAAACGAAATTTTCAATTACATTATATCTAATTAAAAATATCTATTTAAAAAGAATTTTTTTGTTATTATTTTAAATAAATTGTGTAATTAAATAAATTTCATATAAATTTATATCAATTTTTATATATTAGTGTAAATAATTTTTTTGTTCTCTTTTTCTCTATTTTAGATAAAATTATTTTAATTTGAAAATAATAAAAGAAATCATGAAAAGCTTTTCAAATAATTAGTTACAATTTTAAATTTAAATTTATTGAAAATTATGTCAAGATCAAAACAATCGGATATTAATTGGACTCCTTCAGAAGACTATGATTCTTCAGAAACATCAAATTCAGAAGGAGAAGATGAGTTTGTAAATATTAATCTTTTTGAACATCAAGTACATGAATCTGGCAATTGTTCTTGCCAGGTATAAATAAGGAAATATTTAAAAATAATATAAAAAATATTTATAATTTAATTTTTAATTAATTTAATAATTTTAGATATTATAATATAATTTAATAATTTATAATTTTTATAAATTTTATATTATAATTATAATTTAATAATTTTTAATGTTATTAAATTAATTAAAAATCAAATTGTAAATGTTTTTTATATTATTCTTAAATAATAAATTGTTATAAAAAATTAATTTTTTAAAAATATAAAATTTTAATTTCTCAAAAATATTTAAAAGAATCATATTGTTTTCTTAGAATTGTCCATTAGGTTATGCTAAAATGATAGCTCTGAGAGGAAGTGTACCTAATCTCTGTACATCTACGAATTTAACACATGTTGGAACTCTTCCATCATTCTGTTCTGCAGTATATGATATGAGGTCTTTGAATTTTTATTTTTGTATTATTTTTAAATTTAAAATCACTGATTTTATAACATGATTGAACAGCTTTTGTTCAAAAATCCATAATTATCAAGGAAATAAACAATATAAAGGAAATCAAAACAATCAATATTTAAAATTAGGAAAAAAGCGACAATTAAGGAATAGAATAGAACATGAACAAAAAGCTAAATCACAATCAGATCTTTCTTTAAGAAGACAAGAATTTTCTTCTTGTTGTTCCTTCCAATATTTACAAGACATTCAAAAATGGAATGAATATCAAGCAAAGACTAAGGTATATTAATAATGCAACAAATAATATAAATATACATAACAAAATATTAAAAAATATTAATAAATATTAAAATAATGTTTAAAATAATATATATGATAAAATATTTAATACTTTAAACTAATTATGAATATATACTTATATTATTTTATACTTATTATTATATTCATTTATAAATTCTAGAAAAAAGAATATATGAGATTAATAATAAAATTATTTTTAATAATTATTAAATATAATATTATTTATAATAATAATTAATAGTTAATTAATAAATAATAATTTTATTGTTTAACTTTATACAACTAAAATATTGTATAGAAAGCTAAAATATCAATATTTAATATCTTAATATTTAAATTTATATACATATAATATAATTAATATGAATAATATAATTGTATACAGGAACGTTTAAAAAAGTTAGAAAATGAACGTGGAACATTACGTATGGAAGTATCAGTTTTATCAGAACAAGTAGATGCACAATCTAGTAAAATCCAAGAATTAGAAAATATGCTTCGAGAAAAGAAAGATTCTCTCAGAAGAATGGAAGAAGCATTACAAAAAGTAATTTTATTATTTTATTTTATATTTTATATTATATATTTATTTTTTTATTTTCCTTCAATGATTTAAATTTTAGGAAGTACTTTCAAGAAGTGCTTTGGAAACACAAAAATTAGAACTTTTGAGTTCTTTATCAGAAATGAAACTTAGACAAGCAAGTTTAGAACATGAAAATCTTGCACTTCGTAATACAAGTCCTATATCAAATGTAAGTCCTATATCAAATGTATAAATGTATGTAAAATTGAATACTTTTTTATAAATGAAATATATGTGTATATATAATTATAATTATTAATTATTATTATAATTATATAATTATTAAATTTGCAATAAAAATGAAAAAATACATTTTTATTACTGATTTATTACAGGGAGAGAAATTTGGAAGGCATACCACTCAATATAGTAGTCTTCCTAGGCCACCGAGTTCTTCAAAGAAAGGTGTAGTGTTCGGTAAGGTACCCAGTTTAATTTCTGGAGCACACACAACAGTACCATTGGCCATTAAAGGAGCATCCGCGAGATGCCTGTCTGCGCCTACTCTAGGTTGCGATTGATTCTTCCTCTAAGCATGCATTTTTAAATTTTTTCATTAATATATGACAGGCAATCGTGGCTAATAATTTTTAATTTAGTCTATGTCAACATTGAATTAATTAAATTTTATGTTGATTTATGCATGAAAATTTTGATTTTATTTCTCTTTTTTCTTTATTCTCCTCATACATAACAATATCATGTATTTCATACATTGATATGTTTTAAAAAACTATTATTTATTTGTTTTTCTTTTATATTTGAATTATGATATTTGCAACATTTTAATTTTTGAATTTAGTTTGGTGCAATAAAGTTATTCATTATTTATTTTTTTGTTTTAGCTGAAAAAGAGAAAACAATCATAGGAGATTCAAATTCTCGAATAGTATCAATTGCTCAAAAATCTTTGATGGAACTTTCAATGGAAGAAATTGAAGATTGGCTCGTAAATTTAGGATTAGAATGTTACGCGGGCGAATTGAGACGATGGGGTGCTACTGGATCAAAATTATTAGACTGCTCGCAACAACAATTAGAAAAAGAATTAGAAATTAAAAATGTTCTTCATAGGAAGAAATTATTATATGCAATAGAATCCGAAAAATTTGATGGAGCTGAATTTCTTGGATCAGATAAGGTATTTTTTATAATTTTATATTGCATAATATTAAACTCATTATATATATAACTTTGTATGAAATATAACTTATATAATGAAATATAATAAGATTAAGATATTTTTTACAATTTTAGTACTTTATTATTATTTTGTAATTTGTATAATGACATAAATATTTATAAAATTATAGATGGATAATACTGCAGTTTTACGATGGTTAGATGATATTGGATTACCACAGCATAAAGAAGCTTTCCAAAATGGTAAAGTTGATGGAAGAATGTTACATCGACTTACCACTGAAGATCTTTTAAATCTTGGAGTTACTGCACAATTACATGCTGCAAGTCTTAGACGAGGAATTCAGGTAACATTAAACTTATTTATTTTAAATATTATAATATCTATAAAGTAAATATAATATAATTATTTAAATAAATTTAAATTTAATAATAATAATGAATTAATACATTAATATTAACATTGATACATAAACATTAAATATTTAATAACAGAAAGAATAAAACTATTTATAGATTCTACGAGAACTAAATTTTGAATTTGATAATCTTGAAAGAAGATCAACAAATGGAAATGGAGCAGATGGTGATAATGTTCGTCTTTGGACAAATCATCGAGTAATGGAATGGCTCAGAGTAGTTGATTTAGCGGAATATGCTCCAAATATGAGAGGATCTGGAGTACATGGAGGTTTGATGATTTATGAAGGCAGATTTACTTCAGAATTATTGGCCACATTACTTAGTATTTCTCCAGGAAAAACTCTTCTTCGTAGACATTTAACTACACATTTCAATCAAATTCTTGGAAGAGAAGTCGTACAAAGGAAAAGAGAAATTGAAAACACTCCTGGATTTATTCCACTTACGCTTACCGCTCGTTTAAAGGTAATTTCTATTATTTTAAAATATGAAATGATAGAAAACCAAAATGTTGTATATCATAAAGTATTAAGTTATATCTTCACCAAAGTTTAATTTATAAACATTGTTTTATAACTCGAACTTTTCAGGGACATTATTAACAGTTTTACGAACAATTGCCACATCAATCTTTAGTTTCTTCTAGAGGAGATTAGATTTCTAGAGGAATCGATTCGTTAGTTGTGTTTACTATGTATTTGCTACATGAAAAATCGACTTTTGAAAAAAAATATTAATAAATTTATTAATTAGAAAAATTATTTTTAGAAAATTAGAAAATTAAAATTTATAAAAAAATATCGAACAATTCGTGAACAATTTCTATATAGGTCATGAATAGAGATTTACAAAAAATTTTATTTCGTTCTAATTGTTTTTATTATAAATAATTTAAATTAATATTATGTTTGGTTTTATTTCATTCAGGAAAATTCAATGAGAAGATGAGAAATATGAATTTAAAATATAAATTTAAGTTAATAAAGATCATATGATAGTTATGAAATATGAGCTAATAATGTTCATGAAACGTTCATTAAACGTTTTTTTTTAACTCTGCATTTTACGAATAATAATGCAAATAGATAAATAAGCATTTAGAAAATACGATTTTTAGCAAATTTAATTCTCATATTATTTATAAAAAATTTACGAACTCTGGTGAAGAGGCATCTTTACACATACAAGTTCTAATTTTGTCTTTAAATTAAATTACAATTCAATTGATTTAGGTACCTAAGAAATCTCAGTTTACTTTAAAGCGCAAAAAAAGCAAAAATGAAGCAGATTATGGTAATTTGGTCTGTCCTTTGGAAATTTCACCTCCAGGTACTCCATCAACCCCTACTTCAACACCAGGCAGTCCTAATTTGAATTCACCAACATTTTAACAATCATAAATCATAGTCTTGTAAGTCTAACTTGACTAATGCTAATATATTCTTTCATTACTTTATACTTATTTAATATTTGATTTATTAATATTGATAATTTAATTCTACATTAAATATTTTATCATCTTTTATTTTTTTTATCTTTTTATTTTATTATATAATTATTATATTATACATGTATACATATCACCTGTTTTTATTAATTATAATAATAAAAAATAATAGTAAAAAAAATTAAAAATAGGTATATTCTATTTATTTATTGTATATTGTATATTAACACATAATTTAATTCATTTATTAATTTTTTTTCTCTAACAAATACAATTTATTTCGAATACAATTTTTACATTACTGATATTATATTTAAGGAATAATTTATTTTATTTTATTTAATAAAATAATTATTGCATAAATTTATTATAAAAATATAGATTAATATAATTGATATCTGTTTTTTGAAGAATAAATTAGTTAAGAATTCATATGTATGAAACTAAATGATGAATTGAATTATTTATATAATTGAAATACGGATAAACGAAGTTTTATTGTTAATGAATTTTAATATTATCAATATTGTATTGTTAACAAATTTTATCACTTATCTATTTATTCATTTTATATATTTTATCATGTAATCATTTATTAAGCTTCTATTCATTTATTTATGCATTATTCTTAATATTATAAATTACTATATATTATAATATTTATTCAAATTAATTAATTTTTTTCAGAATCAGAAGATAATAATCAGAGAAGAATGATTGGTTGCATTTGAAAAATGTAATTGCATCTACATACATAAAAAAAATATTCTGGGGACCATCATTTTATCTCTCTTTAGTTTAAGTCTTATTATTTAATTTTGAATAATGAAATATTGAATAATGAAAATAATCATTTAAAAATTTAAATATATTAATTGCAAGAAAATTCTTTTTAAAAATATTTACATTTACGTTTTATTTATTTATTATAATATATGTAATAAAAACACTAAATTGGTAAAAATTTAATACAAAATTTTAACCATATAAAAATATGAATAATTAATTATAAAAAATTAAAAAATTATTTATAAAAAATAAAAAGTGTAAACAATAAATATATATTATGTTTACACTAATATTATGCAATAAAAATCATGATTTTCATATGTGTCATAGTTGCATCAAATTAACAATTTGTACAATATGTACATTACATACAATACGTTATCAATATGTACATTATCAATTTTTGTAAGTGGCCTATGATTATATTATCTTTGTAATTTTACTATATATTCAATTATATTCAAATTTGTATTCTTACACATATAACTAGGTTATTAAATATATTAATCCAAAATTTTAAAAATTGTGTGTATATTATTTTTTTCATAAACCTATTGAACAATAAGTTTTTGCATATTATTAAAACAAGAAATAATTATATATTTTACATATATTATTAAATATTTTTATTGTAAATATATGTAAATTATATTATTTATATATGTAAAATTTTTAATTTATTGTAAATAAATCAATAAAATCAATAATTAATATTCCAAAATTTTTATAATTAAATATTCCAAAATTTAATTATAAATCATGTAATTATTTTCTAAAAATGGGTTAAAATCTAATAAAAATCAATAAAACAAAATTAACTAGTTATCAGCAACATAATTAGATGTTAATTATTAATTTCTTTATTTTAAAAATAAATATAATTCTTTTAACTTATAAATCATTGAAGATACTAATTCAATAAATTTATCTTTTATTATTTTTAATGTTTTCTTTAGAGATATATTTATGAAATAGAATTATATCATTTTATTGTGTAAATTTATTATATAATAAAATTATATCAATATTTAACTAAATAAGTAAAAATAATAAATTCAATTTATATGAAAAAGTAAAATATATAAATATTTATTTTATTATTAATCTAGATATTTTTATTATTTAATATAAATCAAAAATATATATAAATAATTAATATTTTATATTTGAAATTTTATTCTTTGAAAAATAATTAATATAAATAAACTAAAAATTCAAGTAGATGTAAACATATATTATATAGTATATATAGTATATACATATACTATATTCAATATATAGTTATATAGTTATTTCAGTATAGATATACTTTTTATTGTCATGCGCATTGATTCACATTTGTATTGTAAATAATCAGTACGCTGTGAGTAATTAAAGTAACAAAATGTAAAGAGAACGTATAATTTGTGTTAACAATGGAAAACGATAGTTTAGCGATTGTTTATATTGCAAATGAAGAAAAAGAATTAAATCTTACAATTATTTATGGACAAACGATAGAAGATCTTTGTATCAAGGTAAGATAGTGAAAGAATTATATTTCTTTCTCGATCTTATTATTTATTAAAATTATATGAATATTGTGTTTTGATATTTTGTAAGATTGAAAATAAATTATTAATAGTTAATAAAGTAAAATTTTATTAATTATTAGTCAGAAATTAAAATGAGATTGAAATTAAATTAAAATTCAATTTTAACCTTTTTCTAAAATAAATCTGAAATCTAAAATGATATTTAATAAAATATCATTTAAGTATAAACAAATATTTTAGATTTATGAAATTTTATTTATGTATTTTTATTATATAATAATGATATTTAAAATTAAATATAATTTTGCTTGTTTTGTACATTTAATTTAAATAAATGATTTTTCAGATCTGTAGATCTCTTGGAATAGGTCCAATAGCCAGACATCTTTTTGCTCTAAGAAATCATTATACAAAACTTTGGTATTCATTATCATATCGTTTGGAAATGAAAAATAAAGATAAATTTGACTTTAGGTTAAGATTTAAACCTTCAAGTTTAAAAAGATTAAAACAGATTGATGTAAAAGCCTATGATTATTATTTTCAACAGGCACGTTCAGATGTTATGGATAATAAAGTGCCAGATATTGTTTATGAAATACATAAACAAGAATTGATTGGACTTGGTGTTACTGATATGTATAGGTTTGTATAATTCAATTTCAACCCAATTGAATCATTTAATGAGTTATTTATTTATATCTTTTTTTAAATTCATGATAAAAAATTATATATTTTTATAATTAATTTTGCAAATAGTTCTATAAAATTTTTCAATTTAATAAGTATAATTTATGAATTATATAAAATAATTATAAATTATTTTATATAATTAACTTATTCAACTTATTCATTGACTTTTCCTTTTAAAAATTTGATTAATTAATCTAATTTTTGATAAATATAAAATTATTTTTTACAGAGTAATGTTAGAAAAAGGAGTACCAAGAGAAACAGTGGAATCAGAATATAGAAAATATATTCCTAGAGAATGTATAAAACGTCATGCATTTTTCATTAAAAAACCAATTCATAATGCACTTTTAGAAATCTGTAAAATATCTGGATATGATGCAAATTATGTTAAAGAACAATATTTGAAACAATTTGAATGTATGGCACCAAATTACCCATATGAAGAATATGAAGCTTTAATGGATAGAGATCTTCAAAATCCTCCAATAAAAGTGACTTTAAGAGTCAATGTAGATGAAGTAAAATATTGTGAATTAAATGTTGCTTCATGGATTACATTATGTGCAATTGAAGATTTATGTTTTGTTTCTATAAGGTTTAAAATTTATCATTAACTTAATTACAAAATATAATATATTTTAATGCAAAAATTTTTTTGTGGTAGACATTTTATTATATATATATATAATATATAAAATTCAATTTTTCAATCAAATTTTATTATTTAATAATTTATATATTTATTATTTATATTTTATTATTTATATGCTTTTTATTTTTTTATTTTTAAACATTTTTCAAAAAATTAAAAATATTCCTTATTGGAAATAGTATATTTTCTTTTATTTAAAATGTAACAATAAAATATTTTTTATGTTGATATTAAATTACACATAATTTTTATTTATAATTGTTTTTTTGTGTAAATACACACACGCGCACATGTATATTTGTGTGTGCGCGCGCACGTATGTATATTGTATGCAAAAAATATTTAATATTTTTATTATTTCTTTTAGACAAGATAATACAGTGGAAATATCAAGGAAAAATGGTATACCTTCATATTTGAAATTTTCAAAAAATGCACTTTTAATGTCCTTTGTTTCTGCTCTGGATGGTTATTACCGTTTAGCTGTTAAATGGACATTTAATTTATGTGGAGAAATTGTCACTCCTTCTTTGGAAAGATTGCATAAATTAAAGTGCCATGGTCCAGTTGGGTATGATTTCATTTATTTTATTTATTATAATTTTAATAAATAAAATAAATATAAAATTTTATAAAATCAAAAAATATATATATAAAAACATGTAAAACTATATTTTATTTTAGGCAAGAATTTTCATATACAAAACTTCAACAAAAACGTGCTAATAAACCAGGTTCTTATTTACTTAGAGAAAGTGAAACAGAATACAATGTATATCATTTGGATATATGTAATAAGGGAGGAAAACTATTTTCAAGGAAAATAGAAGAAAAGATTCCAAATGAGTTTACTGTTACTGGGATTCCTAATCGATACAATTCATTGGTACAATGTGTCTCATCTTTTCAAGATTCTGAAGGACAGCCATATCTTTCAGAATGTTTACCACCTCAGAATATGGTAATTTAATAAATTTTTGTTCTTTATTTTATATTTTTATATAACAAAATTAATTTTTTTATTTTATTTATAATTTATAGAATATTTTTATTGTTACAATTATTATGTTGTTGTAATAACATAAAATAATGAAAATAAGAAAAAATTAATTTTTTTTAGATAAGTCATCGCTATTACTTTGTGCTCCTGAAAATGCTGTTAGCGAAGTTGCAGCTGATGAAGAAATTGTTGCTTCAGTTTTAGAAACTGGCCCTCATTGTGTATCTCAAAATCAATTAGAAATTTATAAACCTTTTTCAAAAACTATTAGGACTCAACAATATTCACCAACAACTCTTCACAGAGCGATTTGGAGGTTAACTAAAGGAAAAAAATTAGAAGTTGCTCTTAAAATTTTAAAACAAGAAGAGGAAGCAAATTATACAAAAGAATTTTTGGAACTTGCTGGAAAATGGTCTCAATTACGCTCAGGTACTCTTGTAAGGTAAATAATATTTTAAAATATAAAATAAAATAATATTATAGTTTTCTGTATTTTTAAAAAATGTAAAGTAATGTAATATAAATTAAAATATTCTAATATAAAAAAGAATATTAATGATTTTAAAAAATATGGCAAAAGAAAGAAAGAAAGAAATCAAAAATGTTTTAAATTTAATTTATTAGATCATTCAATAGCTTATTATATTACTATGAAAATATTAAAATAGTAATTGTAAAAATTCAAAATGTGCATTTTACAGAATTTTTATTTCTTATCTACTATTTGTAACAAAAAATCTTATTACAGTTAGTAAATAATCTTATTACAATCAAATTTTATTATGTTATTATAATGTGTTTAAATTTTTTCAAAATTTTTATATAATAATTTAATATTGAATAGACAATCCAAATTAGTTTAACTTTTTGTTCTCATGTAATATATATTTCTTATATATTGATACTAGAATAATTTGTATGTTCTAGTAGATTATATGGTTTAACAGTAACACCATCGATTGGAATGCTCCTGGAATTGGTACGACATGGTTCACTTGATGAATATTTACGTAGTTCTTCTTCTCAAACTATTAAAACTGTAGATATGGTAGAAGCAACAGCTTGTTTGGCCGCTGCTCTTTGGCATCTTGAAGAAAATGGTGTAGTTCATGGTAACATTAGATGCAATAAACTGTTAGTACATGCCCATACTAATAACAGTTTCGTAGTAAAATTAGCCGATCCAG